TTTTCACATACACTTTCCTATTGAACCTTTCCAAGAGAGAATCTTCTTTCATATTTGAGTAACAATTCAATTTGATTATTAATAATTTAGGATTCTTGTGTAGAACCTTAGTTAAACTAAAATTTTAGGCTTAGGTTGAAAATAGTAGGCTAGTATTTTTTCTTCATTGAGTTTTTCTCGTTCCCTGTGGGATCGACAACCGGACTCAAACCCAATACTATTGATGTGCCACATATACTTGCATGAACAGTTCGGGCTTCGCAGTACTTGGTGCATGTCACCTAGCCCAAACTAAGTTGGGTTTAATAAGAAGTAAATATCACTATGATCTGAATTCAATTCGATAAAGTTGGAATGACCTATGTTTGGGTATGATTATATTGAGTTCAAGAAATTTATAAATATATTTCTTAATTTGATACATGTCTAAAAAGTGTAGTAGACACCATGTTTTTCATGCCTTTAGGCTCATTGTTTTCTTCTAGATATAAAACCTATTCAAGAAATGGTAAGATTGTGAGTGGAAAAAAAGGCACTTTATAGAAATTTTGAAAATGGCTATAGAGTTTCAAACATATTTATTTTTATTTACATTCAAATAAATGAAGAAATGTAATAAATACATTATTTTTAAAGATCAATTTTCTTATTTAAGCAACCATGTGAAATCATTCCATTAAAGAAAGCTTCAAAATATTTTGTAGAGCATGAATTATACATTTTTAAAATTATATTTATTGGTTTTTTTTTTCTCTATTCATAAATCTTTTCTTATTAACAAGTTGAAATTTATGGTGGATATTACTAAAAAAGAATGATGTTGAATGAACAATGCATTGTAGTATGTTGATACTTATATTATTTCAATAGAGTTAAGTGTAACTTTAAAAAATTATTAAGTGGAGTATGATTAAAGTAGGATTTTTTTTAATCAAGCGGCATTTACATACATAGCACACAATTCTTATGTATTTACATATCTCACATCTAAACTTTAATATTTACACACATAACACTCAAATCTTTAATATCACATAAAAAAAAACTATTATCTCTTTTTAAAAGTCATATACACATTTTCATGCACATGCTTAAAGCACCAAGTTCTTAAAATTTCTTAGACACTTGCTAATGAAGTCAGGAAGGCCAATAGAATCACAAGACTAATACAAAAGTATTCTCTTTCTTTGTACTATCTATTGCTGACTGATAGTGGTGAACTAGAGTGCTACAATGAGACCACTCAAGCTGAAGGCTAATCTTTGTGGGAGTTTGTCATGGACAACTGATGTAGCACATCATCTAAATGAAGCCAAAGATCAACTTACAAGAGCCCAAGAAAGTGTCAAATTAATAGCTTATTCAAGAGCCATATCAAAAAGAAATAATTGAAGTTTTATTAAATTATTAATATTTCAATTTCAGTTTCTATAATGTTTGAATTTTCAAATTTGAAGGCTTATATGCCTAGTCATGAAAAAATAATAAATTAGAATGGTGGTTAGCACCTTCCTTCATTAAAGGCCACCTACTACCTTCAAAATTTCCTCCTCATTTTATTAAAATTTTATTACTGTAATCCCTATAAAAAAGGTTGTATGTAATACTTTGGGGCAGTTGTTGAATGAAATATTTGAGTGAATTTTTTCACTTGTTGCTTGGTGCTTGGTGGCTTCATATGTTACCTTTTCTTTGGTGAGATTAGGTTTTTTTTTTCTTTTAAGTTATTCATTATCCTCCAAAACACTTGATCTTAAACTCTTCATCACACTTCACCAAGTCCTAAGCTGCTAGTAATATCAACAAAACAACAACCAAAGCCTCACAACCATTCCAACCCCGTTTTCATAGCTCTTGGCCAAGCAAGATAATACTAAGACCTAATCTTGTTCCCTAACCCTAAACACTATTGTAAACCCATCCAAAACCACCCATATACAGATCATAAGTACACATCCTAAGCTAACCAACAATAATAATTCCAACCATTTACCCATTCTTAAGCTACATTTCCAAAGAGATATTTTAAATCAGCTTAAAGTAGCCTAATACAGACTAATCTTGGTATTTTAGCCACCATTCCATCATAACTCTTTTAAAATTCCACCAAAACCTTCACACTACAACTTTAGACCAACATCAAGTATCAATAGCAAATTTTAGTACATTATCACATCAAAAAGCCACTCTCTTCCATCAATAACAAGATTCAATCACTAATGCTAAGTCAAACATGAGAATTAACAGTACATTGATGAAGCACCCTTGCGCATGGAATAACAACGTCCCAGCGCTCAGAAGAGGGGTGCCACAACACTCAGTCCAAGTACAAGAACTCAAGCGCTCGACATTCCAATGCCCTGAGAGGAGCGCCACAGAGCCTAGTAAGTTTAAGAACCCAAGAGCACAACATTGGCAAGGACAAGGCTTGCCCGTGGGGCTATGAGGAAGAGGAAGACTAGTCGCATATTACTGCTACCTGTAAGATTCTCAAGGGAACTTTGGGCTGCTACTTACAGTGGGGAATTCAAATGCCTACCTTTGACTACTTTGGGGAGGTGGTGATGGGTTTAAGTCGAATCGATGGTACATCCTTGAATTGAGGTTGCCTATATTGTTATGATGTCTATCATTGTTAGCGTGCACAAAATGCAAAGAAACACAACTATTCTTCTGGAACTCCTACCGTGATAGCTGCTTCTATTCTCTCCTCTATCACTCGTTTGAAGACTTTCGTCATTATGGAGCAATGGGATATCAATCGGTCTTATGAGATGCCCTCTTTCTCTTCGTGGTACCCTCCCCCTCTAGGTTGGCTAAAAGCAAATGTCGACGAGGGCCTTCTCTCTAACCACCGTGCAGGGATGGGATTGGCGTTCTGACACGAGGCTGGGAAGATTATTTGTGCGGCGGGAAGTAAATTGATCCATTGGAATAGCTCACTTGTCGAACTTGAGTTGGTCCTTTTCTTGCGTCACTTCCTTGAGCCGTGAAAGTTGGAAACTAAAGTCATCATCATCGAAGGGGATAACAAAATAGTTATCAGTCATTTTGAGGATTGCTTGATGACAAAAAGTTGGCAACACAACATTGGGAAAGGCTATTTTTACATGACTTTAAACAAGTTCTTTTCTTTTAAGTCAATAGGGAATTAAACAAAGCAACCCACTTTTTTTTCACTGCTCGCTTTGGCATGCTCACTCTTGTTACTTAGATTTTTTGAGTATGGTGGAGGAAGATGCCCACCATGCCGTTTCTTTTGGTCAGCTTTCTTAGCCACATTTTGTACTTTCTATACTTTTTTATTTTATTTTATGACTTAGATTTTTTGAGCATGGTGGAGGAAGATGCCCACCATGATGTTTCTTTTGGTCAGCTTTCTTAGCCATATTTTGTACTTTCTATACTTTTTTATTTTATTTTATTGAAAGAATGCACATGTTTCACGGAGGGGTAGAAGGGTGCGCCCTAGCACCTGTTGGAGAACCGCAACACCATTATGGTGGCGCCTCAACGCCAGTAACCAAATTTGTGTAGTTCTCCAATTAAATTACAATTCTGCCAATCAAAAAAACAAGGGTTGACATTGGATGTCGAGTCTCTCTTGTGCAAATGAGAGGAATAAATGCTCTCGATTCTATAAATATTGAGAGGCTTGAGTGTAGTATAATTTGTACAAATTTTTTTTTATTATTTTCACAATGAATTTCTTGATTTTATGTGGCTCCATGATTTTTTCGGTTTTCAAATTTTTCACTTTAAATATTGGTGTTTTTTGCATTATCTCTTCTATTTTAAGTTTTATTTCGAATCTCTCAAATTGATTTCCATAATTTTCTGCATATCTTTCCCCCAACAATCAATATCAATCATCACTCATTCTCATTCTCTAGCACTAACACCAACCAAACCCACATTTTTTTTATCCACCATCTACTAAATCCGTTGTCTTACAATATCCTCCACCACCCATTCTAGGAGACATCCCTTGTTATCCAAAACTTCTAATCCCACCTCTAACTATAAAGAATAATAATAATATTAATAAAAATAGATATTTGCATTCCTTAATTTAGACAACCATATAATTTAATGGGCTAAACCCTAATTCTTTCCTTTATGGGCTCATAAGAAATTCAACATTTAATGCATCTTGTCAATTATTTGTGTGAAATTTTCATTATAAACTCTATATTTATTACCGCTAACATTACAACACAAAACACATTCAAATCAATTTTAATGAGCCAAGCGCAAGTCGAAATCAAGATTGATCACATTTTGTCAACCAGGCTAGCTCAAGCTCCGCTCGAAATTATGCTCGATAACCCTTTAGTCAATCATGAGTGTAGTTGAGCTCATTTCGTTTCAAATTTCGACCATTCATAGCCATAAATGTTGTAATATAAAACCCCCAAAATCAAACTGATGAAGTATGAAATATAATCTAATCTCCTTTTCAATGATACAAACCATAAAAAAAGATTCAAGGAAAAAAAAAATTTTTCTTGTTGTATCCCTTATAACAATAAGAACTTCACACAGCTAAGAATAATTTGAATCTGTTGGACGCAATAAAAACAAAACTGTAGTAAATCTATTCTTTTTTCTATCAGCTCACATGAATCTAACCTTCCTTTTGTCACTTTTTTGGTATAAATGGCTTATCATATCCCTCCTGCCCATGTTTGCAATCCTACCAAAATAATAAAAAAGATTTAATAAAAATGATCAAATAAAAAGAAAATGTTCAAATAATAAAAAAACCTGATGAAGCAGCAAGCCCTCCATTTCAAGCATGTGGACAACTTGCCCCATTTTCGGTCGCTGCAGTGCATCAGGGTCGACACAACGAAGAGAGACTAGCAGAGCCCTCTTCAGCGTTTTCGACGAAGGTTTCTCAAGGATCTTAGGATCCATAACCTCCTCAGATCTTCTTTCTCCAATCATGTTCTTTAACCATTCAACCAAATTCACCTAAGAAACACAACTTAACCTATAGTTAGTTCATCAAACAGTCTGAAACTTTGCCCAAAAGAAAAAAAACAATTTTTTTCATGGGAATGGGAATCACCTCTCCAGCTGGTCTTGAGTAATCAACTGGAGTTCTACCAGATATAATCTCCATGATTAGCACTCCAAAGCTGTAAACATCACTTCGCTCATTCAACATTCCAGTACTTGCATATTCAGGTGCCACATATCTGCAAATAAAAGAAAAAAAAAGGGCATTTATATACATACCACACAATTCTTGTGTATTTATATATCTTACAACCAAACATTCATAATTACATGCATACCCTCCAATTCTTTATCATCACAAACCACCATCACTATCGTTTCATGCCAAAGTTTATGACACCAGGTGTATATAAGTGTAAATATCAAACTTTGGATGATTGGTATGCTGACCATCGTTTTGGTATCAAACCAGATTCAATAAGTTTTCTAACATGCATAAATACATGGATTGTGTGGTATGCATGTGAATTTCCCACAAAAATAAATCACTAATCATTTTCATTATTACAAGTTATCCAACAAAAGTTACGTAGAATATGTAACACTTCATATACAACACTCAACAAAAATGAATTTGAAAAATGATCCTAAGTACTCAACGAAAAGAATGACGGGCGAAAACTTTTATTTTCGTGATCATTGTGAGCGAATGAGGTTTGGGCTATGAGAGGAACTCACCCAAATGTTCCCATGACGCGAGTCGTAACGTAACCTTTTTGCGAGTATAGGATCTTGGCGAGCCCGAAGTCAGACACCTTAGAATTCCACTGCTTGTCAAGTAGTATGTTGCTAGATTTCACATCTCTGTGCACAACTTTGGGTTCTAGCCCCTCATGAAGATATGCTAAGCTGCCAGAACCCGACATGTTATACATTTCAAATATCACTAATAAACGCAAACAAAATTGGATTTCATATATCGCCTAAGGAACATATATGTAAGAAGATGAAGATTACATGAAAGACTGCAAATATAAATATATTTATATATCTAGGGGCATTTGCAAACATAACACACAATTCTTATGTACTTACACATCCAACATCTAAACTTCAATTTTTACATATATGCCGCTTTATCTATGCATAAAACATGATTTCACATTTGAAAAGCTAAAATGGCGGTGTTTTTAATTTGTCGTGAAAGATTTAGGGGGTAAAACTTAAAAAAAGTAAAGTTTAGGTGGTAGAAAGGTAAATACATAGGAATTGGATGGTAAATATGTAAATGCCTCACATATATATAATTTAAATCTTAAATAGAAATTAGCAAAGGAACTTGTTACCCTTTAGCAGTTCCTAGTATTATGTTCATCCTGATGTCCCAAGTAAGTGGACTTACATCCCCCGCATCACCATGAAGCCACTGATCCAAGTTACCATTGTCTACATACTCATAAACCAGCATCCTGAGAAAAAATAAAAAAAATAAAAAAAATAAAAAAAAATAAGACAGCTCAACTTAATTAAAATTAGATTTTAATAGAGATTCAGCTTAAGGTAAATTTCAAGTATTTCAGGATTAAAATAAGAAAATGTGCTGAGAAGAAATAGCTACCTATAGGCACCTTCAACACAGTAGCCAAGCAACCGGACCAGATTCTTGTGCCTGACTCGCCCAATTGCTTCAACCTCTACTCTGAATTCCTTTTCGGCTTGCCCTCTGTAAGCAAAATAATAAAATAAATTTAAGAAATAAAAAAACAAATTTTAGCATATAAGAACAGTACATTTTTATATCAAGTGCATGAAACTTGATAAAACTAAATCATAAAGTTGAAATCTACTGTTTTTATTTATTTATTTATTTATGTAATAAATAAATATGGCTGCAAATGAACCGAATGTTTGACAAACTACTCACAACTTTCCTCCATAAAAACTCGTTCTTGTAAATTTCCATTAAATTTAACCATGATATACGTACATATATGAATCTCAATTAATTTTATGTAGGTTACATGATGGGTATTGAGGGTTATATCCTCGTCATACCCCTGCAACCCTTCTGTAATCTAGATGTAACTTAGAAATATATGAAAATAGAAGCGCGGAACTAACTAGTTATAGATAGGTTACAGATACATTACAGGAGATTAGAGGTAAGAGGTATAAAGCGGATATAACCACCCCCTTAAGTAGGCAAATATTTCTCACAGTGTTTTGGGGCTATACCGAACAAAATTTAGTCAAAACTCAGGCCGAAATTTTATCAGAATCGACCTTATGTCAAACCATCATGCAAAATTCAGCTAATTTGTGTAAAATAATAATAAATAAAAAAAAGAAAAACCTGTTATTGAGCAGGTTCTTGATCGCTACGATGGACCCATCATCCAGAACTCCGCGATACACGATCCCATAACCCCCTTCTCCGATCACATTCTCATCGGCGAATCCTCCGGCGGCCGTTTCGAGCTCCCGGAGCGTGTGCCAGTAACCCCATC